CTTATTATCATCATCATCATCATCAACAACAACGACGACGTCAGCCTCTTCCCACCGAAGAAAGGAAACCCAAGGGGGCACACAACAAAACTAATTAAAATTGTGAATAGTATTACAAAATAATTACAGCTCACTGAAGTAGTTTCGGTTATGGTAGTCGTACTTGCGCGCCATCACCATCAGCATGTGGCTCCACCATTGACGGTGCCAAATCAAAAGACTTTTCGACCGAGACCAATCGAAAAGTTTACAACAACAAAAAAATAATGCAGATTAATTAACTGTCAGATGGGTGCCTTTTATATTTGATAGAGGGCGCAGAAAATCAAAATACCATTCGACAATGGGTGTTTTCCAATCTGGAACTTATCTAACAGATAAATCCACCAAATCAAAAGAAGGAACATTTTTTAGGATCAGATTACAAATCCAAAAAAGATTAATTAACTGTCAAAAAACAACAACTTTTATAATTAACAGACAACACAAAAACTATGAAGTAAAAAGTAACAATGAGTATTTCCATATACCTTAAAATTCCACCAAATGTAAAGAGAGGAAAAACGACTTTTCGATCCAAATCCAAAATTAAATCAGATTAATTAACTGTCAGATGGGTGACTTTTATATTTGGTAGAGGGCGCAGAAAATCAAAATACCATTCGGCAATAGGTATTTTCCAATCTGGAACTTATCTAACAGATAAACCCACCAAATCAAAAGAAAGAACATTTTTTAGGATCAGATTACAAATCCAAAATAAAGATTAATTAACTGTCAAAAAACAACAACTTTTATACAACACAAAAACTAAGAAGTAAAGTAACAATGAGTATTTCCATATACCTTGAAATTCCACCAAATGTAAAGAGAGGAAAAACGACTTTTCGATCCAAATCCAAAATTAAATCAAAGAAGAAAAAGCAGATTCATTAACTGTCAGATGGGTGCCTTTTATATTTTATAGAGGGCGCAGAAAATCAAAATACCATTGAACACTGGATATTTTCCAATCTGGAACTTATCTAGCAGATAACTCCACCAAATTTAAGAAGTAAAGTAACAAAGAGTATTTCCATATACCTTCAAGTACCACCAACAAATTAATTAACTGTTATATAAGAATAAATAATAGATGGCCCACAAATTGAAAATGATTATTTTCAAAATCGAAAAGAAAAAAAAACAGATTAATTAACTGTCAGTTATGGATGACTTTTGCAATTAATAGAGGGCGCAGAAAAACGTATTGAACTATGTGTATTTCCAATTTAAAAATTACGTAGCCGAGAGAATAATAAGAATTATCACGCAAACCGTGAAATTGACCCGTTTTTACCGTATGATTATTTGTATTTCTATCATGGAAAATTATCGGTTTCGAAATATTCGATCGACAAATAAATAATTAAAACTGTTGCCTTTTACAATTTACAACAGAGGACGCAGAAAATCAAGTAACAAATGAATAGTTTAAATGTAGTAAAACTGTTTTTTTATATTCGTAAAAAAAAATATTAGGTTACGAAACGTTTTCAATTCGGCAAACAATGTAAATAAATATATATAGAAAAAAAAATGTATGTATATAAAATGGGGGTAGTGAAGCGATGTGGGGATGAGAAAATCCCGACGCGATCTCGTTTCAATTTCATAACGCAAACAAACCGCCCCATGCGCCCCTTAAGCCTAAGACAACAGATCATCTGCCCCCATGCATATGGAATGCACGTCGTTGTTTCGGGGCGCGGAAGACGTTCACACTCTACTCAACTTGCATAAATAGTAATGCGATCCTATAGGAATACATTTACCCTTCGACCCCTTTTCTACCCCCCAAATACGACACAAAATGAAAACATTCAAGTTTCATTCAAATCGGATATGAAACATCTTTATTTCAATTCATAATGTTTGATGTTAAAGTTTGAAAAATTATAGAGAAACAGGAATGAAACTTTAAAACCGAAGAAATAATAATTTCCAATTGTTTGTTTTCGACCACACCACGGATACAATAAGGAAACGCGATTTCGAGCCAGAGTGTTGTAAAAACGTATTTGCGCCTTTTTAATGTCCGTTTCGAATCGTTTTAATTCGCATTACGAAGACGCCATCCGCACGATGAGCGTGTCTACGCTCTCTAGTTGTCTCCTCAACTCCAGACAAACGGAATTCCAATTAAAGAAAAAATACGACGTAAAGCGAAACACATTTTGTCTCTTATTTTCCCTACATAAATTTCTATGTTCGTACGATAACGAAAAACATTTTATTTCTCTGCAAATTTTATTTTTTTAGTTTAATATCGCAACAACTAACAAATAAAAACGTATAGCGAAATACATTTTGTTGTATATCACAAAAAACGACGTAAAGCGAAAAACACTTTGCCTTTATTTAATCCAAAACTTTTGATATTTTCATTTGTTTCGATTTGTTTTCTCTCTAAAACTTTTGTTATTTTCATTTGTTCCATACATATCATAAGAAAAAAATAAAAAACGACACTTAATTATCTTTATTTCTCCACAAAATTCTGTTATTTTCATTTGTATCGACGTAAAGCGAAACACTGACATCTATAAAACTAATCTTTTTTTTACAAACTTTTCCTAGTTCGATATTGCAAAAAGAAGAAGAAAGAAAAACTAAAGCTGTGCGTTTTCACGGTCGATAGATCGGAAATTACGTTCAACGCACACACAATCGCATCGTAAACACAACAATGAAAGGCCGTTAAAAGTTTTGCAGTATTTTAGGGCAATTTGCACATAATGTGCGATTCGTTTTTCTTTTACGGTCCTCCGGGTCATATAATATTTTTCTGGCGTTTTTTTTTTGTTTGTTTGTTGTTAAATAACGTGTTTTATTTTCTCTCGTCCATTGTTTCAGGTTTTCTTTTTGTTGAGTAATTTTGTAATAATCCCAAAGTAAAATAATTGAAAGAAAGTTCAATTTCTACTGTACTTTTAACTTGTAATTTGCGTTGGAAATACTAAAGTTTCATTTTTACCACATAATTCGATACAAAAATCAATAAAAGAATGAAAAGTTACGAAAGAAAGTTAATATATATTGAATACAGACAACTTTTTTGATATGCACAACGAAGTTTTATTTACACTTGACATGACTGTTGGTTATTTATTTTGTTGTTGTTGTTGTTGTAATAATGGATTTTTCTTGAAGAGTGTTCTGGAGTTGATATGAAATAGGGCGTCTGTGGCGGATCTATACGAAGAGGATGCGCGGGGGGACGACGATGTAGGTGAGGAAGGGGGATCGTGTAAGGACACTCGGAGGGGTCGGAGATAGATAATAAGAGTGAAGGATGGAACCCATCTTTTCGATTGGATGGTCGTGGTGTTTGGGCGTGGTTTTCATACGCCGGCGCTAAAACGCATGCATACCAACTAAACATGCATACATACATACACACACGCAGTCACGAATGAACGCAACAGCTCACAAAAATCAAGGATAAGTTCACTTGGATCTGCAGTTAATCAGAGCATCTCGATGGAAGCTTAATCCTAATACTAAATCTAAACAATTCTTGTATAAACTATAATGAACTATTATTTTTTACAATAACCAAAAAAGTGTAGTACTTTTGCAGTATTCTTTAATCAAAACTCAAGATGTTCTTGATTTTCAACTTGAAAAGTAAAATTTTAATTATGTAATTTAGTTTAAACTTATTTAACTTAAACAAAAGATTCAATTCGTTTTACTTATTGAATTTTTGCAGAATTTATGATGAAATTAAGATGAAACAATAAATCTAACTTACATTTATGAAATCAATTTATTTTTTAAACACCATAACTAAATGTATGCAATCACTTATTCTATTGTTTAAAATTGCAAATATAGTGAAACAAAAGGTAGTTATTAACAAATTCGGTGAAAGCGATGCAAAAACGCAATATTTTTGCATTGAAATCCAAGGTTAATATTTCTACTAATATCGATTTCAGTAAATGAAATTGCTGCTTATTTTGTAACTTACATAAATCAATTATTAAACAAAAAGAAATAATTATAACATTTGTATATTATGAAAAATAATATTCTGCTTCACTAATTCATAGTTTCGTATTATGTAAAAATGTTTCTTTTTAGCTTAAAGTTTTTGTTGTAACATGAATATTTGCTTTCAAATTAGAGTTTTATATTTGCAATGATGATTTGTTATTTGTTACTGTTTTAAATATTCTTTCAATGATGAAATTTTCTGAATTCTACTGCTTACTCAGTTTATGATGTAAAAGAGAATTTAAAAGAAATGTAACTGAAATGAAGAAATATTTATATAAAAATTTGATCAAAATAAGTTAACTTAATAATTTTCACTTAAAACTTTGTTAATTCAGTGTTTTTTGTAAGAATTGTAGAAATGTTTGATTTATTAATGTTCTTGAATCAAAATTTTTAACAATATTTCATTGGATTTTATAAGATTATTACTTGAAACTTTGTTATTATATGAATATAATATTATTTGCTGGAAGACATTTTTTATTTATGTACGTTTGTTTTTTATAATTTCATAAGAAAAACATAAGATTATTCTTTGTGAAAATGTGATTTTAACTATAAATGTTGTTGTAACATAGATGATTATTTATGTATTTAAAGTCAATTGAAATTTGGAGCTGGTTTCTTGAAGGGCCGCGCGCCGTCTTCAATAATTCACGAATCCATTGACTCCCGAACATCCCCATGTATATGTACACAGGGCGAAGAAGTGAGCGAGCGAGCGACAGAGAGAGTGAAGTATATTTGGAGTAAAATCGATGGGAATGCCGTGCACCCTCTGTTACGTAACCAATCGGAGGACGAGTTTCGCTCCCCTATAGCGCTTTGGAATTCGGCCCAAGCACTTCGCGACGACATTCCCAAACCCCTCCACCCTCCAAGGGTTCTTCCCTATTTCCGTTTCCGCTTTTTCCGTTGCCTCGCCAAGATGGAGTAAGTAAGTTCTAGAATCTTACCTTGATGGTGTCCCGGGATGGCGGTCTTGTTTCCCGCCAGATAATCGTCCTTGCAGATGAATTTGTTGTCGTCGAGTACGTAGAGTTCTTCGCCTGTGGAGAGCTGCTTCCTGCAGACGAGGCACGTGAAACAGTTCAGATGGAACACTTTGTCCCTGGCCTTCCTGACGAGATCGCTCGGGGAAATCCCTTGACCGCAGCCGCCGCATTTCGTCCCGTATCGCCTGAAGAGAAGAAAAACAGAGGAAAAAAAGGCATTCCGTTAAAATCCAAATCCAACATCGAAAATCTAGAACAGCAAGAGACTGAGAGAGTGAAGGATGAAAGAAGTGCGGAGAACGCGCGGTGCACAAGGTTTCTCCGGTTACACTTTCCAATAATAATCATAACAATGGGATTCAAAATGCACCGTAATCGCTCAAGTATAAATAAAAACAATGACAGTGAGAGTATGTCCATTCTGACAAACCTTACAGTTATTTGCTTCTGTTTACACACAAAGAAATTCCCACAGTTTAGGAAATTTCATAAATCATCTTAAATCTACTTATATTACAATTAATTTTAATACAGATTCGAAATAAATTCCCAAAATTTTATGCTAAAGTGTAGTATTTTAAAAAGAAATCAATTTATGAATAATTCTAATACATGCGTTAATCCGTTTACTTCATAAAATAGTTTAAAGTTTTCATTAAATTTCTAACAATCTTTGATTCACTTTTAGCTTTATAAATAATAAAAGTTCTTGTGTTTTTTTTTGGGATAAAGTTGCCAAATTATAAAAAAATCTTTGTTTCATTACTTTTCAACAATAATTTAAAGTTAATGTTCGCAAATGTTAGTTTATTTACAATATTGTTGCACCACGTTAGTAGATATGTGAGTACTTTTGAACAAATTAAATTAATTTGCAACAATTCTGTTAATAATGTAGTTAAAAACATTCTTTCAAGTTAGTTTAAATGTAAAAATATGAAATTCTTATTCAGTTTTCATAAAAACTAACGAAAAAATGTGATGATGATTTGATATTGAACAATGTAGGCAAATAGTTGAAAAAAGGGTTCAATTTTTTCACTGTTTTATGAATTTCCTATTAACCGAAATGATGACTTTTAAATGAAGGTTGACTTATGTAGATTGAAGCCGAAGGGTCAGGAAACGTTTTAAATTTCCTGAAAGAATCAAAATACAGGAGGGTGGCTGCTCTGCGTGTAACAGTGTGTGGTGTGTGTATATACGTGCATGAATGTGTGTATAAGGGAGATATATATATATTTGCCGGTGGCGACGTTTTTCCTCCCCGTAATCGAAAAACAACCCCTTGTTTGAAATTAGATAAGGAGCAAACGGTGCGCGAACGAACGAACGAACGAACAAACCAACCCCTCGCATCTCCGTTTGATGTGGCCTGTGCACTTGTAGATAAGTGTACTTTAATTTATTTATGGTAATCGCTGTTCCTCCACCCTCTGCAAAAAGGGGACTTCTGATACACACAGCCAACGCATCAACCTCTCGTTCAACGTGTCCGTCGATGCGACGGGCTTCATCACCGCTACGATCATCATCATCATCATAATCATGGTGCAACCCCTGCTTTATGCAAAAGCGAAAACGATAGAAAACAACCCCCAAAGGAAACTTCCACCCCCCATTTCCAAGCACCTATTAGATAAGCGCTTAAATAGCCCCCCCGAATAAAAGAAAGTTTTTATTGCCATTACTTACGTAAAGTATCGTTACATTAAACAGTAAGAAAAAAAATATATATAAATAGTAGACTTCCCCTACACAATATTTATCTTTCAACCACCACCGATTTTCTTATCATAAGTTACAGTTAATTAGCGCTATCTTTTGTCCCGTTTGCCCTGAATTACGTGACCCAATATTTCACCCTTAAATAAAAATAAAATAAATAGTTTTCCCCTTATCGTTTTCTTGTAAATACGCCAATTTCAAAAACGTTGTTTGTTCAGTTTCAATCTTAAAAAAATAGTTTTTTTCTTGTTTGTTAATAAATTAATCTGGGATTCTTATCCGTAAGGAACTTTGAGCTTCGTTCATCGGCCATTTTCTTCTTTCGTCTCGCATGCATATAATATGGTGTTTCGAAAAAGCCACGTGATCTCGTATAATTATATGGACACGATCAAGTAACAAAGTACACGTACGTACGTAAAAACCGTTTTTCCTTCTCGTTTCGTTTTGCTTTTGTTTCATTTTTGTTACGTGCTTCCTCTTTTTTTTTTGTTGTTGTTGTTGGAACTTGTTGGCCTGTACTCGTTAATTGCGATGGATGGAAATACAAGAAACCTGGGCTCTTATTACGAAGCCATTACGATTTTCACACAGGCGGATCGATGCGAACGGACGGAATATGAAAACGGATCGACACGTAAATTTTATTTACTTTCGTCACGGCCGTTGTTTGTCGTTTCCAGTCAAAACAAATGCTTTACGATCGTATAAACAACAACAACGACAACAACAAAAAAAGGCGGCTTAGTAAAAACTTTTGGAAATACTAAACAAAAAATGTAAAGAGATGATCATGTAATGAAACACGTTTTTTTTATAACTGGAAGAATACAAACAAAATGTGAACAGAAGAAACAAAAATTAGAAGGAAAACGTATGAAAACAATAAAGAACATATGAGAAACGCTTTTTCAAGTGGATGAAATGTAAAGAAAAGAAACAAAAATTTAAAGAGAAGATTATGTAAAGAAACATGTTTTTGTAATTGAAAGAATACAAAAAATGTAAACAGAAGAAACAAAATTATAAAAAAAAAAACTTAAGAAAACAATAGATAATATAAGAAAAACGCTTTTCCAAGTGGATGAATACAAAAACTGTAAAGAGAAGAAACAAAAATTAGAAGAAAAACATATGAAACCAATAAATTATATAAGAGAAACGCTTTTCCAAGTGGATGAAATGTAAAGAAAAGAAACACAATTTTAAAGAGAAGATTATGTAAAGAAAGACATTTTTTTAATTGAAAGAATACAAAAAATTTAAACAGAAGAAACAAAATTATAAAAAAAACTTAAGAAAATAATAGATAATATAAGAAAAACGCTTTTCTAAGTGGATGAATACAAAAACTGTAAAGAGAAGAAATACAAATTAGAAGAAAAACATATGAAACCAATAAATTACATAAGAGAAACGATTTTCCAGTGGATGAAATTATATAAATGTAGAGAAAAGAAACAACAATTTAAAGAAAAGATTATGTAAAGAAACACGTTTTTCTCATTGAAAGAATGCAAAAAATGTAAACAGAAGAAACAAAATTATATAAAAAAAAAACTTAAGAAAACAATAGATAATATAAGAAAAACGCTTTTCTAAGTGGATGAATACAAAAACTGTAAACAGAAGAAACAGAAATTAGAACAAAAACATGTGAAAACAATAAATTACATAAGAGAAACGTTTTTCCAAGTTGATGAATTTATAAACGGTGTCCCAAAATTAACGCAAGATTTGAATTAAATAGAAAACAAAGTTTTTAGTCTTCAGATTGTGATTTTTTTTATTGAATTCAAATATTGCGTTAATTTTCGGACATCCTTTACAAATGTAAAGTGAAGAAACAAATTTTAAAATAAGAAAAGCTTGAAAACAATAAACAGCATAAGAAAAACGTTTTTACCAACTTTAGAAATATGGAAAATGTAAAGAGAAGAAAGAAACATTTAAAGAGAAGATTATATAAAAAAACACGTTTTCTAACTGAAAGAATACAAAAAATGTAAAGAGATCTGGAGGAATATGAGAAAATGTAAAGAGAAGAAACAACATTTAAAAAAAAAATCAAAAACTGAAGAATACCGATTTTCCAACTGGAGAAATATAAACAAATGTAAAGTGAAGAAACAAATTTGTGAGAAAAAAAAACGCACTAGAAAACAATAAATAACAAATGAAAAACGTTTTTAAGTATAAAGAAGAGAAGAAAAAGAAAATAAATAATAATAAAAAAAGAAACATTTGAAAACAATAAATAACATAATGAGAATGCCCTTTCTCGTTTTTTTGAACCGATTTACGACAGTCGTTAAGAGCGTTTCAAAGATTGGTCACACCCCGAAAACCAAAACCAATTCCGAAATGTATCTAGTTAGGTTTTCGGACGAATCTCTTAGCAAATGCTCGCTGCGCCCATCAATGAAGAACCCAAACCAAAACCCAAACCAAAGAATGAAGAAGAAATCCGATCGGTCCGTGTGAAACGCCTATAAAGTATCCACGGCACACTGTCACGGTGAACTGCTTTATTGCACCAATAACTCTGATAAGGGCGACCGAATCTCGCGGTTAACACCGCGTTAATTACGATAACGGAACATTAAGAATTTAAATATAACGAATACAAAAAAATGAAAAAAAAAACTGTATATGAACGAAAAAGCGTTTTGAATTACGTGCCAAAGGCAATTCAAATTAAGTTTTATATGATTAAAATTAATTAAACTTTTCAGTCCGCCTTATTTATCACTGCTTTATTATTTACTTATTTCTTTGTTTTTTTGTACACCAGCGATTATCAGCGTTTATCTTATGTTTAATTAAAATCACTGATATCGTTTTTAATTGAATTGTCAGCGAAACGTCTCTTTGACATCAAACTTTAACCTATCTCATAATATTTATGGACGTATAAGGATGATGGCCAAACATAGAAGAGAAATTTAGCAAACGTTATTTTTTTATAGACGTATTTTCTTATTTCAAGATTTCAAGTTTTTGAACTAATAATTAACACATTGACGACGGCATGACCCACCGGTGGGTCATTAATTATAAATAATAGTTTTGTTGCTATGTACGCCACTGATTTTGACTGAGAATAACCTCAAATATCTTAAGTCAATTACAAACTTCAAACGCCAATACATTTCTTATACATATTTTAATAATTCTTGAAGCAATTTAGAATAATACGTGATATTGTGACATAATTTAGGCATACTTTACAAATTAACTTGCGAAGCATATTTGAAATTTTCATTAAGTAGAATTGAATGAAAATTTCAATATTTTTCCCACAATTGTTATAAATTGCTTCAATATCATTAAAAAATGTATAAGAAAAAGTTTAAAGTTATAATTGACGTAAGATATTTGACTTTTCACTCAGTCCATAGGCGTCCACGAAAAAATTTCTGGGGGCAGACAACCCGAAAAGCGCCGTCCTTCACGTGTTAAATACAAGAAATATAAGTATTACCAATATAGTGATATTATTTAAGTTGGTACATATTGAAATTAAAAACAATACATTTTTGAAACTATGTCAATTTGAGTTCAAACTAATAACTACTACTAATAACAAATAGAATAAGGAACATAAATTTTGTAAAATTTAAAATACGTTGTTAATTGTGGTTTCTTTTGTATGAATTTACGTTTAAATCATGAACTTGTTTTCGTTCAGGTGGATTGAGTGTTCCATTATTATAATTCAGATTGTGTTTCTGTTTCGGACGTCGGTGGGTTTTATAAATACGTTTACAAGTGCACCATAAATATATGTGCGGAGGGAAGATGTGTGTATGTGTATGTATGTATGCTTCGAGATGTTGCGGCGCTTCCTTTTTCCTTTTACTCCTTTTTCGGGGTACCATTGAGTTATGATGGCGGGGCATAAATAACTCCGGACGCGCACGTTGGATGCTAATAATTTCATGGTTCTGAAGCGGTGTGCCCCATTTTAATTAACATTGGAAGTCAAAGTAATATATAAATTTCAGCCATCTAATCCCATCGGACAGGTGTTGTAGGTGTTGCCTTATAAGTCGTTATAGTTTATTCGGTGTATAATTTACTACTAAATTACTTCTGCTCTGCACACACTCACACAATGTATATACGTATACATACACACACATACATGCATGCATACGCATGCATCGGCCAACCAACCGAGCAACCTCTCCTCGTTGGTCGATTTTTATCAGCGACCGACCATCAAAACTGATTCCCAGACGGCTATAATAGTCCAGACACCCAGGAACAAAGAAACAACCAACACAAAAAAAGGAATTTTTAAAGGTGGAGTGGACGAAACTGAAGTCGACCAATTAAAAAAGACCTACTGGCCTTATATGAATTACGACCGAACGACAAAATCAAATGCAATTAATCACTTTGTTTTTCTGGCTATTACAAAACCATTATCATAATTAGACTACTACTACCAAAACAAACTACTTGATTTGTCATAATTTTATTTTACTAAAATCAAGTTTAGTAAAGTTTCATTAGAATTTTACGGTCTTATTTTGGTAGAAAATAAATGATATATTATAGTAATTTTAGTATTGATCATAGAGGTCACTCAAACAAGGTGTCAAAACAAATGACAGGTTATGATTAATATGCAACCAAAGTATCTTAAATAAACCAATTAATTAACGTTGCTTATTAATCTAAATGATTAAAGAGTTTATGTGGTTATGTCGTATATATTCGTCATGGCATGACGAATATATTCGCATAATAAAATAACGCGTAAGTACTAGGTGATAGAATGCATCAATCCGCTTAACAGGTTAAGTATTTACCTGAAGAAGTCGCTCCTGCAGAAGAGTTTGCCTTCCCTGCTGAAGCATTTGTCTGTGAGTGGAGCCTGACAGTCGAAACATCGGACGCAGTTCGCGTGCCACGTCCTTTCCAGGACGTTCAGCAGGAATTTGTCTAGGATCGGCTTCTCGCAGCCGGCGCAGGCTATGAGCATTCCGGCGGCTGGCTCGCACCGACCTACAAGAAACAAAAAAAAAAAAAACAAATATAAAACAGAGAAAAAATGTATCTAGCACAAAATATAAAGCGTTTTCAATTTGACACATGTTTATATCTACAGTTTAAAGGCGAAACGCAATGTTAATTTCCGGAAAGTGTTGAAATCGGGCGTCGAAAGGCCCACCCACCGTTTTTCCACTCCAATTTCAAAAGATTTTCAGTTTCCTTCTTTCTTTTTTTCATTGCCTCTAAAACATCACAAGACACCCTGTAGTTATCTCCCAACGTTCATCACACCTACTTCTTCGCATCTTTCATTCAAGAGTTATTTTTTTATGAATGAATCAGAATTAGATCTAAAGCTGAATACGTACTACAAGATTTAAATATGTTAAACGTCTATAACTGTCAACTGTCACTTTATAATTTTTACACCAACTATCAACTGTCACTATATATTATCTATAATAAAAAGTTATCAAACCTACTTCTTCGCATCCTCTATTCAAGAGTGTTTTAATGAATGAAATATAATTAGATCTAAAGCTGAAACCATATTAGGAGATTTAAATATGTTAAAAGTCAACTGTCACTGTAAAATGTTTACACCAACTGTCAAATGTCAACTGTCACTTGATAATTTTTACATCAACTATCAACTGTCACTATATATTATTTATAATAATAACTTATCACACCTACTTCTTCGCATCCTTTAATCAAGAGTGTTTTAATGAATGAATCAGAATTAGATCTAAAGCTGAATACGTACTACAAGATTTAAATATGTTAAACGTCTATAACTGTCAACTGTCACTTTATAATTTTTACACCAACTGTCAACTGTCACTATATATTATTTGTAATAAAAAGTTATCACACCTACTTCTTCGCATCCTTTAATCAAGAGTATTTTAATGAATGAAATATAATTAGATCTAAAGCTGAAACCATACTAGGAGATTTAAATATGTTAAACGTCAACTGTCACTGTAAAATTTTTACACCAACTGTCAAATGTCAACTGTCACTATATAAATTTTACATCAACTATCAACTGTCACTATATATTATTTATAATAAAAAGTTATCACACCTACTTCTTCGCATCCTTTAATCAAGAGTGTTTTAATGAATGAAATATAATTAGATCTAAAGCTGAAACCATACTAGGAGATTTAAATATGTTAAACGTCAACTGTCACTGTAAAATTTTTACACCAACTGTCAAATGTCAACTGTCACTTTATAATTTTTACACCAACTATCAACTGTCACTATATATTATCTATAATAAAAAGTTATCAAACCTACTTCTTCGCATCCTGCATTCAAGAGTGTTTTAATCAATGAAATATAATTAGATCTAAAGCTGAATCCATACAATGAGATTTGAATATGTTAAACGTCAATAGCTGTCAACTGTCATTTTACGTTACACTAACTGTCAACTGTCACTTTATATTATTAATAATAAAAAGTTATTGGTACTTCTGTCCCATATCATATTTGTACTATTACTTATTATCACATTTGGCATTCCTGATAGACTTGTCTCATAATACGCAAAATGCGGACGCAGCTTTAAAACATAATTGGATGATCTTGAAGCACAATGCAAAGCACCTATGATTCAAATGTACATATTTAAGTGGACAGTGTATATCGTTTCGTTTGTTCAATTTGAATCAGCTAATGCGTGTTTATACAGTTAATAGGCCGTAAAATGTCAGAAGCAATTTAGGTGAACGTAAATATTTTCGTACTTAATTCCATTTCGCGTCGCAAAAATGCGTTGCAGCAGCAGCATTGACTATTAATTGTAACAATTGAACCGCATCGAAAACCGTGCCCAAAGCCGCCTTCGTTTAGTCCACATTTTTTATTTTTGTTGTTGCAATCCTTCCGCCTCCGCCAAAAACCATTTTCTTTTTACTCTTTGTTACAGAACTATAAATAAACAAGAAAAAACAACTAGGGTTTATTAATCCATTAATTAATTTCCTTTTGCATTTCCACTTTGTTTTTTATTATTTATTTATTCAGTTCGGTTTCGTTTTGTTTTGTTTGTTTTCCAACTGCAAAAACGGGTAAATTGCTAATGCACTTGGGATATTTATTGCTGCGTTCCGTTGTGGAGCAGCGGATTAATTAAAACATAAATCAAAGGCGTATTTATGGAAGCAGAGGCAACAGAGTAAAAAGAGAATAACAGAAATAAAATAGAAGCAACAACAAACGGAAGCGCGGAGAAAATGTGTACTTTTTAATGATATAAATTAGTTGTGATCTGGAATCGCGGCGCATATCTAAATTAAAGTGCGCGTCAATGTCAGACTTTTAATTGAATTAAACTTCATTACAGTTTCCGCTGATTAATTAAAAAAAAATTATATAGATTTGTTTGTTTGTTTGGGATTGAGGATGAGGAGTAGTAATAGATCTGTTAAGAGGAAACCTCTAAACGCCCTTAATTGGTGGCTACTTAAATCACGCAGGGCCTCAATTTTCTTCGGGGAGGGCAGATCGTGGCCCTCGGGCGACCGTCGAATTATGAAATTACCGTGAGCGGTCGCCAATTAGGACACGCAAAGGATCACTCGAAACATTATAATAAGAGACTTCCAAATTGAAAGAAAAGTGGGCCGAGAAATTAAATTGAATCCACAAAAGAGTTAAAAAGAAAAACGATTTAAGAAGGAGATAATTACGATTTTCATTTTTTTAACAAACGCACGTGGATTAACAGTTGCTACGGAAACGTGTTTTTCCTTAATCTTCGAGAGGTTAACGACGGGGTCGGAATCGGATATAATAAAAGCCGAAGACGTGATGATGCGTTCTCGAAGTGACATAAAAGAGATTAAAAAGGATCGACGCGTTGCGAAAAACGGAATCGTCTAAGGATAATTAAGTTCTTTGTTTTATTATTGTTTCAGTAATGAAAATGTTCTTTGCATTTCCTGAAAATCTCTTCGACTTCATTACATTCCGCACGAGTTGCGGGCGTGTAAAATTCTTGTTGCATTTCCGAGATATTCGAATTTACGCGTTTATGGAATTTCCTCTTCTCGGGATCGGCTTACTTGGAGAACAACATCAAAAAAAAAGAGACGTATAACGAATCCAACGTTTTACGTCGTCTCAACTTTTTTTTTACAGTTTGCAGCGTGCCGTGAACGCCGTTCGCGGATTTCGCAATTTTCCAAATAAGGTGAACCGAAAGGAGAGAAGGAAATCAACGTAGTTATGGTTTATGTTTCACTCAAGAAAATTACAACTTTCCAGTAGAAATAAACGATTTTAATACAGAAATTTAAACAAATAAAAGAGAACTTTTACGATTTCATACTTGAATGTAAAATTGGGATAATAATTAAAGTTAGTTAAGAAAAAAGTTCAGTAAAAATAATTATTTACAATTGTAATTAATTGAAAATAAAAACTATTAATATTTTGAATAAAATACAGATATTATGATTTATGTTTCACTCAAGAAAATTACAAGTTTACAGTTGAATTTTAACGAAGAAAATTTAAAATGATGAAATAGGAACAATTAAAAGTAAAATATAACTTTTACAATTTGATACTTAAATGTAAAATTGGCATAATAACTAAGAGAAGTTTGTTAAGAAAAGTTTAGTAAAAATAATTATTTGTAGTTGATTGAGATAAAAAAAAACTATTAATATTTTGAATAGAATACAGAAAACTTGTCTATGCTATAAAACATTGTTAACCGAAATTATTGGTTTACTTTTTGGAAATTGTGAAATAATTTCAAGTTTTTTCGACTCAAAACAAATAAATTTCAACAATATATTTCAACAAAAGCGTAGACAAATTTTAATATTATACAATTAAAAACATCAACAAATATCTCATTTGTGAAATCTTTAAACAATAATTAATTACCTTTACTTTTTTAAGTATAAATTCAATGTTTAGTTGATTTTTGGGGTAATTAAGTATTGAAACAAAACAAAAATATTTGACAGATTATAAAATTTGAAGAAGTTTTTCAAATTTTGAACAAATCTTAACAAATGAAATAAAAATATTCTAAGAAAACACGTATTAATTAGCAAATCAATCGGATTTTATGAATTATCCAACATTTTCCAAAATACATTTCCAAAATGTAAAATTGTGTATAGAATTTGAATAGATAACAAACAAGAAACAAAAGAATAATGACAATAAACAAAATACAAATTTTGAACAAATCTTAACAAATTAAATAAAAATATTCTAAGAAAACACGTATTAATTAACAAATCAATCAAATTTTATGAATTTTCTAACATTTTCCAAAATACATAAGCAAAATGTAAAATTGAAAGTAATGTGTTTAAAATTTGAATATCTAGCAAGCAAGAAACAAACAAATAATGACAATAAACAAAATCAATTCAAGATCTATCGGATGTTGCGAACCCACGTAATTTCTATTGAAACACATTTATGTATGCACGTTTTACCATTCGTTCGACTATTCTCGTTATGTTCTTGCATTTCTATACAACATTTTTTTTTGTTGTTGTTGCTGCGAATTATTAATTTTTTCAGGGTTGGTTAATCCTACGCGGCCAACGGGATTTTCGGCGATAATCCCCAGCGGTCGGCGGCGGCACGTACAAACCGTGAACCGTTCGGTGGACCGGTTTCAAAAACTCTTCGGTCTTCCACCGAAAGCCACTCCACTTCTTCAGTTCCAAAATTAAAAAAAAAAAGAAAAAACATGACCTCGGTGTGCGAAGGAAATTGCGAAATCCCAAAGCCCAAAAGCATTAACAACGGATTAAGAACACTGGATCATATGCACACAATTACATAAACCAGAAAAACAAGCAACAACAAGAAAATAATAATCAAGTTTTATTTAATTGTAGTTTTTACCACTGTTTAAAATTCGTAATTGTTTCGTGTGTTTTTTTTTGTACAATTTTTAATAATTATCAGCAAAATATGTTAAGAAACGTGAGTGTTTTCTATAAAAGATATTAAAATAAAAAATTATGTGTTTTTTTTGATATCATACCATTGATTAAATCGAAACTGAAGATCATCATCTGTACTTAATGAAAATCCTTGCAAAAACTGAAGGATTTTAGTTAAAAATCGCGACACGTCCTTTCCGAACACTTCTCAACTTACAACTGAGCTCTGAAACTTTAGTACAGAACCTCGAGATAAGGAGTCCCCACATTTGTATACAATATTTAAACGTTATTCATGCCCATTGATTTTTTACAGACGGTTAAAATAAAACACACAGATGAAAAGTCAATAAAAACGCACGCAGAAAAAAAAAGGAAAATTCGGATTTCAATGAAGGAAGTCCTCGGGGTTCCGGTGGCTTTTTGCCACGTAATTTGAATAACGTTGATGCACTATATAAATCGAGGCTTTCGCGCTGGGCTGCCGGCTGATGTAAATTAGTTCTAATCGCCCGAAATGCCCCAAAGGCATCATCATCTTCTCTCTATGTATTCCTCGGCCTCAAGAAAGGGCAATGCAACATATTACCGTCACAACAATAAATCACTGCTGCCGCATGCGAAACGCGGATTCCGCATCATGATTATTAATAATAACCGTGGATAATCCTCAGATTTTCATTCGGCGGATGCATAAATAACGAAAGTAGGCAAATATTTATAAATTTTGACAGGTGTCAACTGTATGAAAAGGGCTCTTAGATCGTTTATCATTTTATTTATTTTTTTGGATCATTAATAATAGTAGCAATTAGGCAATTTTATTTATTTCGTTACTAAATTTATCGATCACCAATCCGCTGTTTAACTCTCAAAAATTTAGTCAAATATTAGATAATTAATTATCAAATTTTACTAATCACCAATCACAGTTGCTTAACTATCAAATATATAAACAAAGCAATGGGCGTTATTTGATAGTAAAATTAGGGACTTTCTAATAAAAAAAAGTTTCACATACGCATAATTAGCGAATTTTACTGATCACCAATCTATTGCTGAACTATCAAATATAAACAAGGCAATGGACGTGATTCAATAGTAAAAATAGGGACTTTCTATTAACAAAATGTAAGTTTTGTATGCGCTTAATTAGCAAATTTTACTGATCACCGATCTATTGCTTAACTATCATATATGAATTGAGCGATCGACGTTATTTGATTTAATTAATTTAATAAAATTATGCATTTTATATTTAAAAATCTAAGTTTTATTACAGTATCATTTCATATCTCCTTAACTATCAAATTTTATTGATCACCAATTCGTTGCTTAACTATCAAATAACAGGAACAACAACTTTATTGGATTAAATTAATATTGTAAAATTAGGCACTTTACTTGTAAGAATCTAAGATTTGTTAAATTATCATTTTGCATCAAACTTAATTATGAAATTCTAGTGATCATCAAATCCATTGCTTAACTATCAAATACGAATTATTATTATTAGATTTAATTAATGTACTTAAATAATGCGTTTTCTATTAAAACAAATATACATTTTACTAGTTATCATTTCGAATTTTCATAATTATTAAATTTTACTAATCCCCAATTCGTTGTTTAACTTTCAAGTATGATCTACGCAATAACTGTTACTAAATAAGTTTTACTACTGTTTCATCTTATCAAATTTTACTGATCACCAATCCGTTGCTTAACTCTTAAAAAATGAACTACGCTATAACATTAATATAGAAAAATTGGATCATTTCCATTTATCTTAATGTTACTAGAGTATTATTTCAGATTTCACTGAATCTCAAAATTTTGCAAATCACCAATCCGCTGCTTAACTCTTAAGAAAAACTGCGTCAACTAATGGATAATGGATGGATATTATTCAAGTTAATGAATATAGGCACATTTTATTTAAAAATATTCCTAATTATCAAATTTTACAGATCACCAATTCGTTACTTAACTATGAAAAATAGCGCCCATTATCTAACAGATTCGATTAAACTAATATAGTAAAATTAGACTGTTTTCGTTATTTAAAAACCTAATTAATTATCAAATTAAACAAATCACCAATCCTCTGCTTAACTCTCAAACAAATATTTAAAAAAAAACTGTGAAATATCAACAATTCGATTAAATTAATTTTCTACAAATTTTATTGAAAATAATGGACTGTTTTCGCAGTGCAAATTGGGGGGGGGGGCAAGGGGGGTTGTGGCGCAGAATAAATAAATACGAAATAATAATAATGTATTTTATAAAAATAATATAATTTGGTGGTGCGCAATAACAAAAACTAATTAACGAATATAAATATATTTTGTTTGCGCGCTCGGGGTGAAAATTGATTTCGGCCCCAAAAATAAATACGATTTTAACTGTTTCAGGCAAAAATTCAATCGCGTTTATATATCGAAACAAAAACATCATTAATAATTAAAAAAAAAGAAGAAATTATTAAAATGAAAATATATTTTATCGGAAAAATTACATTTTTAGCTTTAAAATAAACAAATTTGAAGTAGTTACGTGTTGAATAAATATATGTAATTGTTAAAAGTGTTAAAACATCAATTAAATATTTGAATTTTTAAATTAGAATTTGTTACTTGATTTTTTTATAAATATTAACATATTTTCGCTTTCATACTAATAATTTCTAAGAAAAGCATCTAGTTAATCCCTTCATACTACTAGTTTTTACTTGGGTCGTGCATCTAAATCTTTGGGTCATAAATGGGTAGTTTTGCGGTCTTGGTGCACCGCTTTTTGGGGGCTGTAAACCATTCACTGTGAAACTCTTTCCATAAAGCATAAATCTCTTGCAAATTTCCCGTATGTGCAATTACTTTGACATTAATTATTCATTTATGCACGTATCACATTTTTTCTTTTGAATCAAATAAATCTATATATTTTTTTTTTAGTTCTGTCTTCATCATTAAACTGTTATTAATGCAATTGATGGTTTCCTTCGCAATTAAACTTTTACATACTTTGTTGTATCTTTAGTTTATTTATAGTGTTGATAATTGTTGCAAATTATCTAAATTATCTTGTTAATTATTGTTGTTAATGCAATTTATTTCTATATATTTCAGAATAATAAGTTAATTATTACAAATTGAAGTAATTCTTGTTTTTAATATACAATTTTACGCTCTAAATTATTATGTGATCATGAAGTACATTCTTTAACAACGCTTATTTTTGTATCAAATTGTGTAGTTTTTGGTAAGTTTCAAGTATTTAAAGATTAGTTTTCAAAGAATAAAAGATTTGTTGTTCCAAAGTACAAAGTTTTTTCTTTATTAAAACATCTTAAATTTTTAAGTCTATAATCAAAAGATACAATACTTGAATCCTTAAGAACGTGTATGAAGTAGTAATAAATTATGTATATTCATTTTTACTATTACGTAAAACTGTATTCTATTCATATTTTTTTTTTGAATCTTTACTCATTGTTGTAGTACATTCTTAGAAATACGTGAATTAATGTAATTGATGTAGAAACAGGTGTTTATTGCGGTATTTCCGTGTATGCAGACATAAATAATGTAATCTCTATGTTTTAATTGAAATATTACTAATTTTTCTGTTCATGTTATAATTAATTTTCTCTCAAAATATTTGTTTACAATTGTTGTAACTGTAACAATTCATATTTATTAAATTTTTTAATAGTCAATACATAATGTTTACTGTTGCTTTATTATAAGTATTCTAGTTAAGATTGACGAAGATGAAAATGATGAAGGTATTTTTCAGTGTTTCAATCATATAAGAAAGTAAATTGTTTGATTTAGTTGAGTTTGAAAAACAGTTGAAGCAAGTTTTAGAATTTTCCAGTTAAGATTGAAGCGGATTCATAATATGATAATAATGATAATGATAATTATTTTCTCGAAACTTATTTTTTGATTGTTACAATAACTTTAGTAATAAGAATTGATAAATTTTGTATTCCTCAGTATTCAAAATTGATATTTTTTTTAATTTTATGTAATGTTTTACTGTTAAGTTTAATACAAATGAAAAATACTTGTGATTTTATAAGAATATTCATTATATTTTCATTGTTACAATTATTTTGGTATTAAGAATTGTCAAGTTATCAATATTTTGTTTGGACATTTATAGTTAAGATTAACGCAGATGATCGTTATAAGTTTTTAAAGGCAATTTTACATTTCAAGTATATTTTGATTGTTAGTATTGAAAATTAATGTTTTTGTATTTTTGTATAAAGAATTGATAGATTTTCAATTTTTGATTAAACATCTTGCTGTATTCAAAAATGATGTCTTTTCATATTTATCTAATAAGTATTGATACATTTTCAGTAAAACAGATGTAAATGATGATTTTATAATGGTAAATTTCAGTATTCAAAAATTGATATCTTTTCATACTTTTCTATTAAGAATTGTTGCATTTTCAAGTTTTATAATTAGAAGTAAAACTTATTGTTGTTTTTTGTATTTCAAAGTTAGCAGATGTAAATTATGATTTTATAAAGGTAAATTTTAGTGTTCAAAAATTGATATCTTTTCATACTTTTCTATTAAGAAGTGATACGTTTTCATGTTTTATAATTAGAAGTAAAACTTATTGTTGTTTTTTGTATTTCAAAGTTAGCAGATGTAAATGATGATTTTGTAAACGTAAATTTTAGTGTTTCAATAGTTGCGTTTGTAAGAATGTGGAGATAATAAGAGAAGAAGAAAAAAACGTCATGAGGATGAAATTTACGATTATGCGTATAATAAATTGTGTTCGTTTAGTGAAGTCTTTGAGTTATTGTTTTGAGTAATGGCTTCGTGAGAGAGTGCGTGTGTTTTATTCTTTTGTTTTTCTTCGTAATCTTCATTTGTTTCCTTACCTATGTTGTGTGGTGTGTGCTGTATGTAAGCGGGATTTGGCCCAAGAGGCACATGAGCTAATCCGGCCCTAAGCGTTAGGGCCCCTACTGGAGTACAGGCAGGCCCGTTTTCCAAAAAGGCCGCCAGGATGATGTCGTTCACTGAACTCCGCGCAACCACTTGAATTTAAGTTATTCAAATAAATTAAACGAAAAAAAATAAATAATATTCGTGGAAGGACGATGCGAATAGGTCCTTCCGGTTTTCTGAAATTTTCCACCGGTTCGCAAAAAACAACAACAAAAAAAAAGAAACACTCAAGGAGGTCCTCGCGCGCACACAAAGAAGATCCGTCGGACGATCCTCCGTCGATGCACACTACCAAAAACACTCACTTCGTCTTCCTCTCAAAATATATATATATGTATATATATATAAATCGCGACCGCAGATTTTTTTTGGATTCCTCGCACTTTGTTACTTCGTGTTTTTTATATTATTCGCAAAAAGGATTCTCTAATCTCTCTCTGTTTACGTGTTATGTGTGTGTTACGGTGTGTTTTCGTGGGTGTGTGGGGCCGCAACGCACTTCATCCACACGCGTGCACAAAGCTACTGACATGCAAGAGTCGTCCTGGCTGTTCCAGTGCTTCCAAAAATCGGCCCAATGTCATTGATTCACCCCCACCGCTGCGACGCGGACCAATCACGAGGCTTCGCCACGCCCACCGGCCAAACCCATTCGCTGGTGGCCATCAGTTGCGATGGTTATCATTCGGACTCGGCACTCTCAGCTGTATGCCGCACGTCTACAGGGGCGATTTTTCAAAAAAACCGCCTCTTTCTTATACCTCTTACACCTTGTTGTTCTTCCTTTACTTTTCTCTTCTTCTTTTTTTTCCCTCTTTATTATTTTTCCAACCGCTCTTCTCCCCATTTCCATTCTTTCTTTTCTTCAGCCAACTCCAATCTCCCAGGATGCTTGCTTTTTCTCTCTACACAGTTCTCGTTTTATATTTATTTTTTTTTCAGCTGTGTCCTTCTTCGTCGCTTCTCTTCTCATTTTTATTTTTCATACACTCCCGACAACACGCATAAAGCAGCTACCGTTCCGTAGCTTTTGCGCTCGGAAAAATTGTGCTATTGATTTGATGCGGCGACGACGACTTGTTGCAGATTTTCTGTTTCCAAAGTGAATGATAATAGTTTTCGGTACATCCAATACACACACACAAAACTACTTAAAATTCCTCCATTTTTTCGTTTTTGTTTTGTCCCCACTCCAGAATCGATCAAACATTATTGTTATTATTGCCGCAATATCGATTCGACCCTTTGATGTTTCCACGAGCCTTTTAACCGCAATTTTCATACGTAACCACCATAGAATTTACATTGAAATGAATGAAAAGTTACGCAACTACTCGCATCAAAGTCATTTTAACATTCCTTAATATATACTTCACAATAGTTAAGCAATTTATTTCGCTGTTATATTTTGGAATGGTGATTGACAACAGATAATAAATCAATAATCATATCTAACTGCAATGTAAAAATTTATGTATTGAATTGCATTAGAGAATTGGTAATTTGGGTTTGGATAAGATGACAATTTGTGTTACAATTTTGTAAAAATGTGATTATATTATCATTTTCTTCTATAGTTTTCTTAAGAAAATGAAAAATTGTTATTTCGTAATACAAAATTTATGATTTTCTTCAATAATTTTCTTAAGAAATTGAAAAATTGTCAATTATTACCTTTTTATTCTACAAATTTCTTAAAAATTTTAGGCAAATCTACAAGTTTTATCATTATTTACAATTAGTTAAGCAAATCATTTCCTAGATAAAATTTGAAAGGGTGATTGTAAATTTGTGTTTGAAAAATGTAAATCTATTACTACAAATTATTTGTATTACTTGCATCAAAATCAATTTATAAATATGTGAAAATTTTTATATAAAAAAAAACTTACCTACATGTTTCTTATATTCTTTGAACTGGTGATATTTTCTATAGATTTCTATATTTATTCTAAATTGAATCATGATTATTAGATCCTAATAAATCATTAAGATAATCATTGCAATTTAAACAAAGTCTATAGTTTCTAACTAAATTATTACATTACATACGTACATTATTAAAAGTAGAAATATTTGGATCAAAATTTGCAAATAAACTATATGATTTTTTCAAGTTTTCATGATAATGAATTAAGAAGTTTACTAATTATAATATAATTAATAAAAATATAGCTAATAATGTTTTTTTTTCATTCACTTAATAAAAGTAATTTAATTTGTTTCAAATATAACTAAAAATCTTAATATTTCTATTAGTAATCGAAAAAAATAGTCGGGATTTTGATATAGTCGGGATTATGGTTGCCGGGATTTCGATACAGTCGGGATTTCGAACGTCGGGAATTTGATTGACGGTATTTCGGTTGTCGGGCTTGCGATTGCCACCGCTTTTAAAGTATAATATTTCGTATTATTACGAATTAATCAAGCAAAACAGCGAACGCGTTGTTTCTTAACTTAATTTATATCATTTGCACTTAAGTTACGTAATTCTAATTAATATAAATCATTACGAAACTCACTTTCTTGCAATATCCGATAGGTCATTTGCACCGTTTCATATAGCACGTTTTCTTCAAGCAATTCCCATTTTATTGATCTACTTCACCTATTGCCAATAATTAGAGCTCCAATAATTTTACACATTAAAAAAAAATTAATACTTTCATAACATTTCATATTTTATATGCATTTATTTACAAAAATGTCATAATTTATTAACATTTAATTATTTATTCGATTATACTCAGAATCTCAGAAATATTCGCAAAGTTAATTTTTCAATAGAAAAGAAATTGTGATTTTACATTCATAAATTTGCACTAATACGACAGGGCTTAATTATACAACCGTACTTTCATTAACGTTAATCTTATTTACAAAAAAATACGTAAATCTATAAAAGCGCAATAAAATTTTAGTCTGTTTTATTCACTTTGTGAATTCAATAATTTTTCTAACAACTCTTTTTTTTTATTACGTATATAAAAGGATTAAGCTTCTTTTTTTTTTCAAAAATTTCTTAATCTTGTTGTAAAACTCTTAATAATTTTCATAGAAACATAAAGCGAGTATTGATTTCAAGAACATTTCGAAATAGAAATACTTGGAATTATTCAGAAACTGGACTTTAATTTTGTTGAAGAAAAAAAAGTGCGTAAATTATAATGAAACAAACGTGTAATTTCCATTCACTTTTCCTGAACTAATCAATATTTAAATCTAAGTATTTTATTATAAATAAAATAAATAAAACAAAGTTTATATCATGAAAAAATATTTATTTATTTACATTTATACAATTATTTACAAAATAACACAACGACTCGAATAGTGCGGATTCGCTAATATTCAATAAAACAAATTGAGGACTTTAAAAACGTATACAAAAATCGCAGAAAATGAACTTTAATTTGTTTTTAAAGTTGTTAAAACCGGACTATAGTAAACCAAATTCGCACTGTTCGAGGTATTCTTACAAATCATTCTTAAAGGGTCAATGAATCTTTGGCACAAACTTGAAAAAAAATCCAAATTTAGAACGGAAATTTAATAATGTTAGCTGACCTCGAGTCAATACGAATTATTTTTTTTTTCGTTAACAATCGATCGTCTAATTAACTGAATGTTGTCGATCGACAAAATATCTTCGTGTTTTTTTCTTCTTGAGGATTCGTATCGGCAAGATGCGAGTTGTTAAAGGAAATTAGATTTAAAAAGTAATTAAAGCCGAGCTGTTATTACATTATTAAGTCTGCAAAATGTTTAATTTAATAAGCAGATTTATGAGAGACGATAAGTGCAGAGTGGAAAAAAAAACAGTATGTTTTATATATTTAGATTATTTATACGCTCAGCTAGCGACTAAAGTTACTTAAATTATTATTATTATAAAAGAGTGCAGATACAATCTGTTGTTTGCAACAAGATTTTTTTTGTTGTAAATTGGTGTACAAGTAATTATAATGTTTTTTTTTTTGTTAATTAACTTTATTTTTTTTTCTATGCAGCTTATGTTACGTGTAATTAATATAATATTGTGAATTATTGGGTCATTTATGGAAGATCTTCATTTAGTTTTGTAGATCGAAAATATCCAGCTTCAGTTTTTGTAGATTGAAAGTGTTGTAAGTTTCGTCTTTGGAATTCCAGTGAAAACTTTGATGATTCTGAAAATTAATATTAAATATTAATGAATTATTACATAATACATAAAATATCAATTATTTACAAGATTTTGTATTACAATTCTTCAATTTGTAAGGATTATTGGAGATTAAATTTTGAGAATTTTATGGCTTTAAAGTTTGAGATTTATTTGATGTATTTCCTGAGATCTATTAAATCTAATCTATTAAAAAATATAATGACTATAATGAAGAAAAAATTGATCAAAATTTGTATTTTCAAACACAATATAGAATTTTTTTTAAAAATGAAAAAAACAATATGAATTTTATGGATAATTTTTAAGAATGAAAATTTAGTTTTAGAATTATTTGGAGATAATCCACAAAAAATCTACAAGATTATATTATAAACACTCAAAACTAACTAATCTTCTAATTTAGTTTGTGAACATTTAAGGATTTTCAATTTTTCAACCAATAAGTATAAAATTTCATTTTTCTCTATTTTTTTTTACTAAAAGGACATATGAAAATTTATCCAAAGTTCTTACAAATGCTTCGAGAATCAATAAAACCTTAGAAATACTATTATTCAGCCACTACACATAAAATACAGCCACTTGTGATTTTCCGCTCTAATATTGGGCTATCATACTATTACGTTTGAATTCCATCACTGATAACTTTTTTTCAAATAAACTGAGATGAAAATGCTTTCACAGGCATGTAAACAATAAAATTAGCTATCATTAGGTGAAATATGGACATAACATTGCCAACGGTTAAAAAGTTATAGCAGTTTTAAGTTGATTGCAGTTCAATTGGGCCACCTTGTACATATTTACCAATAGTTCAAGCATAATTTTGTCAGAAGATCTTTCAATCATCTATTTCTACATTATCTGTACTAACGACTTTATAATTGCGTTAAAACAAACAAAGTAAAAACAGATAAATGAAATA